TCAAGGTCAGCCTCAGGAATTTAGCAACATCCTCAAAAACTGTATCAAAATAAAAATTAAAAAATAAAAAGATCTGGGGATGTAGCCCAGTGATAAAGTGTCCCTGGATTTAATCCCCAGTACAAAAAAAAAACAAAAAAAAAAAAACTAGAATTCAGTAGGTACAAAGTATTGCCTGGAATGCCTTTTTAAAAATATTTATTTATTTATTTATTTATTCATTCATTCATTCATTCTAATTAGGTATATATGACAGCAGAATGTATTTTGATTCATTGTGCACAATTACAGCACAATTTTTCATTTCTCTGGTTGAACACGATATAGCGATGTAGCATTGCACCACATGTGCAATCATACATGTAGCTAATCATACAAGTCCATCTCATTCCACCATCTTTCTTGCCCCTACTCCCTCACCCCACCCCACCCTCCACTATGCCCAGTCACAGTTCCTCCATTTTTCCCCTGTCCTCACCCCATTTTGGATCAGCATTCACTTATCAGAGAGAACATTTGGTCTTTGGTTTTTGGGAATTGTCTTACTTTGCTTTAGCATAATATTCTCTAACTCCATCCATTTACCTGCAAATGCCATAATTTTATTCTCTTTTAATGCTGAGTAATATTCCATTGTGTATATATACCACAGTTTCTTTATCCATTCATCTATTGAAGGGCATCTAGGTTGCTTCCACAGTTTAGATATTGTGAATTGAGCTGCTATGAACATTGATGTGGCTGTGTCCCTATAGTATGCTGATTTTAAGTCCTTTGGGTATAGACCAAGGAGTGGAATAGCTGGGTCAAATGGTGGTTCCATTCCAAGTTTTCTAAGGAATCTCCATACTGCTCTCCAGTTTGGTTGCCCAATTTGCAGTCCCACCAATGTAAGAGTGTGCCTTTCTCCCACATCCTCACCAACACTTATTGTTTTGTATTCTTTTTTTTATTTTATTTTTAAAGAGAGAGTGAGAGAGGAGAGAGAGAGAGAGAGAGAGAATTTTAATATTTATTTTTTAGTTACTGGCGGACACAACATCTTTGTTTTTTTGTATGTGGTGCTGAGGATCGAACCTGGGCCGCACGCATGCCAGGCGAGCGCGCTACCACTTGAGCCACATCCCCAGCCCCGTTTTGTATTCTTGATAACTGCCTTCTGACTGGCATGAGATGAAATCTTAGAGCAGTTTTGATTTGCATTTCTCTAGTAACTAGAGATGTTGAACATTTTTTCATATATTTGTTGAGCAAATATATATCCTCTTCAGAGAAGTGTCTGTTCAGCTCCTTAATCCATTTATTGATTGGGTTGTTTGCGGGTTGTTGTTTTTTTTTTTTTTTTTTTTTGTGTGTGTGTGTGTTAAGTTTTTGAGTTCTTTATATATCTTGGAGATTAGTATCTATCTGATGTGAGTGTAGCAAAAATTTGTTCCCAAAATGTAGGCTCTGTCTTCACCTCATTGATTATTTCTTTTGCTGAGAAGAAGCTTTTTAGTTTGAATCCATCCCATTTATTGATTCTTAATTTTATTTCTTGTGCTTTAGGAGTCTTGTTAAGGAAGTCAGGGCCTGATCCAATGTGATGAAGATTTGGACCTACTTTTACCTCTATTATGCGCAGGGTCTCTTGTCTAATTCTTAGGTCTTTGATTCACTTTGAGTTGAGTTTTTTGCATGGTGCAAGATAGGGGTTTAATTTCATTTTGCTGCATATGACTTTCCAGTTTTCCCAGCACCATTTGTTGAAAAGGCTATCTATCTTTTCTCCAATGTATGTTTTTGGGACCTTTGTCTAGTATGAGATAGCTGTATTTCTGTGGGTTTATCTCTGTGTTCCAAACTCATTCTATGAAACTAGTCTCATCCTGATACCAAAACCAGGCAGACACACATCAAGGAAAGAAAATTTCAGACCAATATCCCTGATGAACGTAGATGCAAAAATTCTCAATAAAATTCTGGCAAATCACATACAAAAACATTAAAAAAATAGTGCACCATGATCAAGTGGGGTTCAGACCAGGGATACAAGTTTGGTTAATGTACAGATATCAATAAATATAATTCATCACATCAACAGACTTAAAGATAAGAATCAGGGGCGGGGATTGTGGCTAAGTGGTAGAGCATGAGCCTTGCACTTTTGATCCTCAGCACCACATAAAAATAAATAAAGGTATTGTGTCCATCTACAACTAAAAAAAATTAAAAGTATATATATATATGAATCATATGATTACATCAACTGATGCACAGAAAGCATTTGACAAAATACAGCACCCTTTCATGTTCACAACACTAGAAAAACTAGGGATCATAGGAACATACCTCAACATTGTAAAAAATAAGTAAAATAAGTAAAAGTAATCTATGCTAACCTCAAGGCTAAAATCATTCTAAATGAGAAAAACTGGAAGCATTCCCTCTAAAAACTAGAACAATGCAGGGATGCCCTCTTTCACCACTTCTATATAACATAGTTTGCCACAGTCCGGCTGCAGCAAAGTAACCGGAGGGTGACGAGCAACTTGTGTACATTGATACAGCAGGAGTGGGAGCTGTTTATTGTAGGACAGGAGGGTTATATATACCTTACACACAGCTTATCTTAATTAACATAAACTAGATACAGCAGTCAACTAATAAGGAATCTCCACACTTAATGTCTCGCTGGTGTTACTTCACAAACCACTCCCTTTGGCAAAATGCCAGGCACCATCTTGACTTGTTTACAGACCTTAACAATAGTTCTTGAAACTCTAGCCAGAGCATTAGACAGACAAAAGAAATTAAAGGGATATGAATAGGAAAAGAAGAACTCAAACTATCATTACTTGCCGACAACATGATTCTATACTTAGAGGATCTGAAAAATTCCATCAGAAGATTTCTAGAATTAATAAATGAATTCAGCAAAGTAGCAGGATGTAAAATCAATACCCATAAATCAAATGCATTTCTATACATTAGTGATGAATCTCTGAAAGAGAGATTAGGAAAATTGTCCCATTCACAATAGCCTCAAAAAAACAAAAACAAACAACAACAATAACAACAAAGAAAAAAACTTGGGAATCAATTTAACAAGAGGTGAAAGACCTCTACAATGAAAACTACAGAACACTAAAGAAAGAAAACATCAGAAGATGGAAAGATCTCCCATGCTCCTGGATAGGCAGAATTAATATTGTCAAAATGGCCATACTACCCAAAGCACTATACAGATTCACTGCAATTCCAATTAAAATCCCAATGTCATTCCTTATAGATATAGAAAAAGCAATCATGAAATTCATCTGGAAAAATAAGAGACCCAGAATAGCCAAAGCAATCCTTAGCAAGAAGAATGAAACAGGAGGCATCACAATACCAGACATTAAACTATACTACAAAGCTATGGTAACAAAAATGGCATGGTATTGGCACCAAAATAGACATGTAGAACAATGGTACAGAATGGAATTCCTTTTAATAAGGTGAAGAGTTGGGACATTCCTCTATTCCTTTTTTTCTACCAGAAAACATAGGGAACCTACCAGAGCAATCCAGACCACCTACCACTGCCAGAGACTCCCCTTCATTCCTTCTCCCAAGGGCAGTCTTAAAAACACTGAAGTTCACTCGTGGCAGAGCCATTTAGGGCTGGAGGTTAGAACCAAAGTGCTGTACCCATATTGAGCTCATCCCTGGGTGATCACTGGTAAGGCTTCAGTGGAGGGGCACGGGAATCATCTCAAAGCCTAGGAAGGGGTCTCACAGCTATCCCTATGGGCAATATTCCCTTAGCTCAAGCCCTCTTAGCCCACATTATCCTGTGACAACCTTAAAGAATATATTGCTACTCCTTCCAGACTCTCCTCCTTTAAAGCCAAACTGCAGAGCAGCCTCTCTAACCTAGCAGTCTTTGTGTCACTTCTCAAGAGAACTTCACAGAACCCTTGCCCAGGCTGCCTTCCACTTTTAATTTTGCTAGAATCTGCCAGCATCCAGGTCTTTTAGAAGTGTGCCTGAAACATTCACATAAATACCACATTTTCAGGCATGTCCCCAGTGTCCTCACTTGAACATTGTCACAAAATGTTCTAGTACATGAGTGATTAGGCAACACCTTGAACCCACACTAAGAGCCTGCCTTTCCCTTCTCTCTTCCCCCTTCTTTTTTCCCCTTCAATCCTTTCCTTCTACTTCTCTTTCTCTTCCTCTATGTCCTCATTTACACGAATCATTTACAATCCTAATACATTACTCAAATTATATGTTATTTGGTTTATATTTCACTTGTGATCTGCAAGTGATGACAGAGGAAGGAAAAGCATGGGGACTTGGGATCTGCTATTGACAAATGTGTGCTTTGAGAAAGAATAACTTAAAGTGATTTAGAGAGGAGGTCAGTGGGTGAGAAGAGAAATGGGGCAAGATACTGCAGGCAAAGGAGTAGCAATATATTCTTTATTTCAAGGTTGTCTATCACTATTATTCATTTTTAAATGTTTAGGAAGGGGAAAGGTTACTTTTACAAGTCCTAGGATGATACTGCAACTTTTAAAAATATTCTTTAAAACTACCTTCCAGGGCTGGGGTTGTGGCTCAGTGGTAGAGCACTTGCCTAGCATGTGTGAGGCACTGGGTTCAATTCTCAGCATTGCATATAAATAAATGAACAAAATAAAGATCCATCAACAACAAAAAAAATACATTTAAAAAAACTACCTTCTAGGATTTGGGTTTAAAATGCCAAATTTTTTATTTTATTTTTATTTTTAGTCATTCTGCTTATTATGTCCAGTAATTCATTAACTTTTGACTGTAATGTTATGGGAACATCCAAAATAAATTAATTGAAAGTGTTTTAAATATAGGCTTATGTCTTGATAAACTATTGTGCACCTTATACCACTTGTAATTTTAAACTTGTTTTTAAAGAATGATTTTGTTAAATTTCTAAGAAATTGACATTTATATTTTAAACTTGTTTTCCATAGTGTTGACCCCTTTACCTTTATAGTTTTCTTTTTGATTGCCTTCTTCATGAAGAAAAGCAAAACCCAGAAATAAAGGAATAGCTGACTTTCTGGCTGGATATTCCTGGTAAAACAAACAAAAAACATTGATCACTAACTGTGCCAGGCGTTATTTAACCATTACAGTAATAGTGGAGTAGATATTACTTTACCCCTATTTGAGAGATGATTAGAGAACTTGACCTAATGTCAATGCCTAATTAACTCTAGTCAAAGTGGATCTCCAACCGGTTAATCTGAGTCCGTTTATCTAAAATATCTGCATTGGAAAGAAGAATAAGGTCTAAGCTTTTCTTCCCTAATTTCTTTCCTCCTTTCATTTTTTTTCTCCCGTTTTCTCTCTTTAAACACATGATACAGTCTTTGTTTGCCAGGCACTATTCTAACATTGTCACCTAATTCTTATATCAACTGTGTGAAGTAGTAAGTATTATCATCAACATACAGAAGAAGCTGAGACAGAGACAAGGTAACTTCATATTAACACTAGAATGTGAAATACATAGGTGAGTTATATTTTCTAGACTGTTAACTCTCATCAGCGTCCAAACAGGCGCGATTGCCCCTTCACCAATACACCACTGGAAATGTCACAGCAGAGGGATTAGCATGGTTTATGCAGGCGGAAAGTACGCAACTGAGAGCTTCTTCCAAAGCCGGAGGCAGTCTCTGGGGAGAAAGGGTCTTGTTTCCAGGGAGAGGACATGAGCTCTGTTGAGCTGAAGAGCAGGCGGCAACGGGGGAAAGGGGGGAGGCAGGAGTCACCCCGGGCAGAGGCCTTAATGCCGAGCTGGGTTTGTTCTTAGTAGAACCGAGGGCTCGAGCGGCCAATTCGAACAAGGTCTACCGAAGGTGGTAGAGTCACCGAGGGCGCGCTGCTGACAGCGGCAGGAGTGGGGACCAGGGAGCGATTGTGACGTTGCGCGGAGTGGGGCGGGGCTTCTGGACGGCGGGGCTACTTTGCGGAAGGGGCGGGGCCTGTGAGAAAGCTTGGAGGTGGGGCATGCGAAGGGGCGAGACTCCTGCGGGCAGGGCTGCTTGCGAAGGGGCGGGACCGGGGCGGAGATGGGGCTTGCGGAGGGGGGAAGGGCCCTAGGAGGGGAGGACCAATAGGAGGGCAGGACACTCCAGGGGGCGTGGCCGGGGTTGGGGCCGGGTCACCGTGTGGATGTAGGGAGGTCCGGGACCCGGGGCGTGGCCTGGCCTAACCCCTGCAGCTCAGTCCAGTCACTCTCCTCTTACTCAGCCCACTGCTTGCTCCCCTACCTGGTGCTCATCAGCATGTCTTTCATCCCAGTGGCGGAGGATTGTGACTTCCCCATCCACAACCTGCCCTATGGCGTCTTCTCCACCCAAGACAACGTGAGCTGTTGCTCTTCGACTCCGGGCGCGGGGAGGGCGTGGAGTGGAGGGGAGCGGGGGCGACTTGAAGGCATGGGTCATTTTTTCTTGAAAAGCGGTCCATGGAGAGTGCTGTGGGATCAAATCCCGCCTGGCTCTGCACATTGTTTAACCTCTCAGCCTGTTTCTGCAGGGTTGTGTGGCATTAAATGCAAAATGAAATAGAATTTGCAACTCTCCCTCCCAGACAAGTCAGCAAGTACCATTATTGTTGCGAGAAGAGGAAGCACACAATCCTGTTGCCCAATACAGAATTGCTGGGGTGTTTTCTTACCCCAAAGAAGCCAGCTTACAGCTGATCATTCATGTCTCTAGTTAACTTCTAACCCCAGAACCCGGAAAGTATCAGTTAACCCCCACCTTTGTGTGTGTGTGTGTGTGTGTGTGTGTGTGCTGGGGATTGAACCCAAGGGTGCTTTACCACTGAACTACATCGCCAGCCCTTTTTAATTTTGAGACAGGGTCTTGCCAAGTTGCTGAGACTGGCCTCAAACTCGTGATCCTCATGCCTCTGTCTCAGGTAGTTGCTGCACCCCACCACCTGTGCTTGGCTAACCCCAGCATTTTTAGCAGTTGAAAGAGATGCATGTATTTCCTGGCCTAGAGCTGTGTAATCTAAGAGGTCAAGTCTTGCCTCCATTTGGAATTCTCTCAGCTAATATGGGCTCCCTGGCTTCCCTTGCTAATTAGAAGCCCTTTGAGTGGGTGGGGGAAACGAACCTTGACTTGTAAATGTAGTGTGGTTAGAAAGAAATCTTTGAAAACTGGACGTTTATCAGCAAATATACAAGAGGGTCTCCTGGTGCAAAAAGTAGATTCCTTGCTTGGATTTGTGAGTAATATTTTGTTCTTAGGTCCCTGATCCTACTCCTCATTCGGTTCTGGAAGCCATAGAACCCCCAAATCTGCTTGCACCTAACAGTATTTAGGAAATGTTTGCTAAATGGAGCCCTGGCTGTTGACCCCTTCCTGGAAACTGGGTTCCCTTCCTCCATGGCTTCTCATTGACTCCAAGTACCTATCCTTTTGGGGTCCTGCCTGCAGTGAATGACTTAATCTAGAGGAGGTGACTTGTGGTTTTAAAACTGACAGATCTCATTGGATGTTGCAAAGACACAAAAAGTGCCCTGGAGAGACACACAGATGAGACATGTTAAAGCTTAACCTGTGTTAGCCAACCAGTGTCTCTGATGGCAGTATCCTCCCTCTGCCCTCCTCTAACATTTGCCCTTAGCAAATAAGTCCTCACCTTTCCTGAGGGCACAAATCCCTTAAACCAGAACATTTCTGAGATGCTAGCACGCACTAGTAGGGAGTTCTGATTTGCTTTCCTAGGAGCTATCTGGAATTAATGCCTTTTGGTATTAATTGCAGACCTCATGCCCTGCAATTGCTAGAATGTTCAAGGCAGCCTCTAAGGATTTCTGGGAGAGAGCACCCCTTCCCACTGACCTCTGATAAAGAGTGCTGTGACAGAGAATTGGCCCATTTGACCTTCCAGAAGCTCAAGGCCTCCAAGCTTATATAGACCTTATCTAACTGTGTCACTTAAGTGATTGGAAACCCCATTTGTGGTGGCTGCCTCTCTAGGGTGCCCTGGTGGTCAAGGCAATAATCTCCTTTCCCCTAGGCCCATAGCTAGTCCTTAATTTGAATGGAACAACAATGAATTAATCTAGTTATCATTTTATTTTATTTATTTATTTTTTAATATTTATTTATTTTTCGGTGGACACAACATCTTTGTTTGTATGTGGTGCTGAGGATCGAACCCGGGCTGCACGCATGCCAGGCGAGCGCGCTACCACTTGAGCCACATCCCCAGCCCCTCATTTTATTTTATTCAACCATTGCTTAGGAACCCCTAATTTTGGTCCAGATGCTATGCTGGGAGTTAGGGATCAAAGATATAGGAGATAACCCACTTGAATCTAATGTATGAAATATGATATGTCAAGAGCTTTGTAATGTTTTGAACAACCAATAAAAAAAAAGAAAAAAAAACACAAAGATATAGGAGACACCTTCCCTCCAATGTCTGATTGCTCATGGAATACTAGTGAACACATAATGATGTTCTGTGTGAAAGCAGGGACAGGGGCCTCTGAGAAATGGGCCAGCAAGAGTCTGGAGGTTGATTTGCCTAGTGCCTTGGTAAAGTCCCTGATCTGGCCCTGCCTCTACTTCCTGGATTCTGTTCTTTTCAGCCTTAATGGCTACCTTTCAGTCTTTGAGACACACTGAGAGTTTCTTGCCTCAGGGCCTTAGCACTTGTTATTTCTCCTACCTAGACTACCCTTCCTTCTAGTCTGTATATCCTTATTTCTTCTCATTCTTCAGGAGTCAGCTTAAATGTCAGCCCCTCAGAAAATTGTCCCTAAGCATCCTGTGAATGAGCCCTTCCATAGTTGGTGTCTCCTACCACACCCTGTGTTGCCTTTTACTTCTGGAGGGCAGGAACCAAGTTGCTCCTCTGTCTTTCTCTGTCTCTCTGGTGATTTTGCAGCATTCATGTAGTACTAGTGCCAAAGAAATGCTTCATAAATGTTTGTGCTATGAATAGTATCTACTCATGTCTATTCTTATGTTAAGAGATTGACAGATACTAATTGAATTCTCACAACAAACCCCCATTATTTCCCCCCATTTTACAGATGAAGAAACTAAGGCTCGGAGAGGCTAAGAATCATGCTTCGGATCTCATAGTCAGTAGAGGCAGATTTGGGATTGGCCTTCACATCTGTCAACCTCCCAATTTCATAGTTTCTCTTCCAATGATGCAAGTCAGGGAGATGTCTTTTCCTAGTTTATTTGCCTCAAGTCGAAGGGGAAACTGAGGCTCAGAGCACCAGGGACTGACTTTTCCAGGGTGAATGGGATAGTAAGTGATAGAACAGGCCAGGAGCCCTTCTAGTTTGACACTGAAGAAAATAATTCTAAAGGTTAAAAGTATATGGATCTACTCTGTCAAACTGGTTTTCTGGGTCCTCAGGTCACACTTTGGAACACAAGGGCAATAACTTGCCATCTGAAGCTTCTAGGCTTTCTTTACAGTTGCCAAAACTAGCAGCGGAATTTTCTATTAGATCTTAGAGGTTGCTTAATAGCTTCTTACCTTAAGCTAGATGTGAGGGTAAAGATCAGAAGTGGCTCTAGGATCTGCCCTGCACATTGCCTGAGTGTATGGCCACTTGCATCTAGGTAGCTCAGCTCTATGTCCTTCACAGCAGTTGCCATATTCCAGAGGGTGAGACTAAGGCCCAGAGAGTTAGCAGAGCTGAGAATGAGTAACCAGGCTCTTCGGGCAGCCTCCTCCAGGGCAGATGTGCTTGTGAACTCCAGGCCAGGGGAGGGCATGGCTCTGGTGTACCTTGATCCCAGGGGCTAACGAGCATGAAGAGATGACTATTCTCTCAGTCAACCAAAATGAGCAGCTGATGGAGATGAGGCCAGCCAGGAATCCCACTTCTCAGCTCTCTAGAACTAAAAAGGCAAAGGGGATGGTTTAGGAGATCTGGAAGCTGGCTGAGGATAGATAGAGCCCTATCGGGTAGAGTCTGTAAGCAGGCTCTCCATTCCTAGTTGACTAGCAAAGTTCAGGATTGTGGGATCAAAAACCAGGCTTTGCCAAATATTTGAAGCATCTCATTGCTCAGAGCTGATGCTGGGATTTTATGGTGCAGAAAAGAATGCCCCTGACGTGGTCTGCACAGTGTAGCTTTGTGTAGCTCCCCACGACCTGAGCTCTCCTCTGTTTGAGCCCCAGCAGAGCTTGTTATTCTGTGCCATCTGGCTTTCAGCACTGTGCGTGGAACACTCACTGCTCTGCTGCACAAATGAATTGCCCTGAATAAAGGCCTGGTCAAAGCAAAAAAGAATCCAGCTGCCTGGTAAGGTAGTGTGCTCCTCACCACTGGAGGCATTTAAGCAAAGTCTGGGGAACTTTGCAGGGGAAGTTCCTGAGACTGGAAAAGGGGCTTGGACCAGGCTGCCTGTTCTCACTATACTCCAAGGGGTAAGATTTTCTTGATTTGATTCCCCATTGAGGGAACATACATTTTGGTTTGTTTTGTTTTTGGTACCAGGAATTGAACCAGGGATGCCTAAGCACTGAGCCACATCCCCAGTCATTTTTATTTTTTATTTTGAGACAGGGTCTTGCTAAGTTGCTGAGTCTGGCTTTGAACTTGTGATCCTCCTGCCTCAGCCTCCTGAGACACTGGGATTACAGGCATGCACTACCATGCCTGGCAAGGGAACACAGATTCTTTTTCTTTCTTGTCCTGGAAACAGAGAAGGGAGCTGGGATAGGATGCTGAGGATCCAGTCCCTCAGTTTCCTCACCATAAGGGCAATCTAAAAGGGGGACCCACAGGCTTTTGACTAAATGAGCTCAGCCTACCAGAAGCTTTTGCTAGTACTGACTATGCCATCTTCCTCCCAGCCAAGGCAACGGATCGGTGTGGCCATTGGCAACCAGATCCTGGACCTCAGTGTCATTAAGCA